CCTGTCATAGCAAATCTTTCAATGAGTAGTTTTTGACTTGAAAGTTCATATGAATCACTCTTGAATTTGTGATTGCAAGCGACTTAAAAGAGCGTTTATTGCTTTCATGATATAAATTCCATTATGTAAATCTGCATATTTAATTCATCAGTTGGTAGTGAACCTTTAGTGTTAATGTCACTGAGCTCTTTTATTATGAACATACTGGAAACTTTCAAACTTCTGTATTATTAAATAATATTTGTCTTAGAATGTGAAGTATGTAGCAGTTTGTTTCAAGTAACTTTCTTGAAGAGTAATCGTTATCCCAGTGTGAACTTCGTAAGTTTAAAGTGCATATGCAGTTCCAGAAAAGCATTGGGCACTAAGAAGTATATTTTACTTAACAAAATTAAATAATTTTTGTGTCTCATGTACTGTAACTGATGCTTAAAGTATTNACGACTTCTTGAAAAAGAAGGCATCAGACTGTCTTCTCATTATCCTCTCACAAAAGATGAAGAGCGTGAACTTAAAAAGATTAGAAAAAAAATCCGTAATAAGATATCAGCACAGGATTCGCGCAAGAGAAAGAAGGAATACATAGATGGCTTGGAAGAGAGGTAAGAATCTCATATTATATTACCATGGTTTCAAAAATGTATGTATGTATGTATGTATGTATTTCTTACCTGTGTTATGTGATGCGCGAAGAATCCTATCAGAACTGTACCTCTAATAGTAATAACACCGGGCAGGCTTCGCGAAAATGGTGAAAAATGCCACGAAATCTACTGGGCATAAATTCCAACACCTGTTCCGAAAAATTATAAACTTAAACACCAACCCAAACAACTTAGTCTATTACAATTCTCTATCAACAGAGCGCTCTACAGACGCTACAGACCGCTACAGACGATGGTCGTCACGGTCGTCACCGTCATCACAGCCACAACTGTGAGCAATGTGAGAGAGTGATGCAAACATTCTTCAGTACATATTTTATCAGCGTCTTTTTTTTTTAGAATTTCCCTTGGGCAGAGAGAATTAGTTGTGATTATATACATGAAATAAAAAATATAAAATGTTATTACTGTGCTGAAATTAGTACACATATTATGGTAGACTACAACTGAAACATTTATATATCTTGTAACCCCAGGTTTAATGTGGGTAATATATTGTGACATGTTGTGCAATGGAGAACCCCTCCCTACCCAGCAGCAACGTGGCAACTCAGACCACAGTGACGTGGCAGATGAGTCAGCGCTCCCCTCCCCCCTCCACACGGTAACGTAATGCGCAGCGCGCGGTGACGTAAGACGGCGTGAGGTAACAGCGTTGCTGCGTAACAGGCACATACAGCCACTATATAAGAGAGCTGCGCTGCCTGCGAGAGTTGTTGAAATGTGGCCATCGCCGAGTTCAGTAGTAGTCGAGCCAGTGTGTTATCAAGAGTTCTCAAGTCAGCAGACTACAGTTGGAGTATAGCAGCTGTCGCGGGAAGAAGAACCGGACGTGTGTGTAATTGTGTAATTGGGAGTGTGCAATAGAGTGATACATAGCTCCCCTACTGTAAACGTGTAGACTACTGAAGACAGAGTGAAGTGATATTGCGAATAGGGTTATAAATCGTGAAACCCCGCAACAGTGTAAACAGATTAATGCAATTAGGGTTATAAAGTGTGAAACCCCGCAGCTGTGTGATAATTAATTTTAGCTGTTACTTGTAGGTTGTTGAATAAACCAGTTAACAATCCGAACGGCGTCTTCAGTGACAAGACGCATTACAATATTACTGCTCTGTCCATGAGCTTGTTGTGGCGATGTCTGTTTTGATGGGTTCCCTGATTATCTAAAAGTAAGTAAAGCAAAGCTATCCCTGTAACAGGCCGTGAAGGCCCATAAGGTTGTGAAACATTGAGGGTCCCACTTTTATCAAGACAGTCGGCTCAAAGATGGGGGTAAGGTTCTCAACCCTAAGTGCTGGTCATGCTTTACTCCCCAGGAAAATTATTTAAGTAATTTCTGGTACTCATTTCTGTTAGAGGCTGAATTGACCCCAGGACCATAGTCTGGCTGGAAGGATTAGGTGAAATGAAAAAAAATTCTAATAACCTCATCGGGACTTTAACCTGCAACCTTCTGGCTTGTAGCATAGTGCCTCAACCAACTACTCTACCGCGTGCCCCTCCATAATTATGTAGGGATGGTAAATGTGAGTGCAGAAGTGTGGCTTCTGTACTGTGCATTCCTTAGCTTCAGTGGGTTGCAGTTTCTGCAGTATAAATGCATGCTGCTGACAGCCTGTCTTACTGTGTCTTATCTGGCAAAAGGGGAGGAAGTTTATGTTTGTATTGCATATTCTCCAGTCACGTCAGAACCTTTCTGTATGCACGAGTGTGGGCGAAGTCTTATCGTACTTTGTCCTTCAGAAACTCTGAATGTGTATATCTCGGACTAGCCACACAGAGGTACTGTCCTTGGAATAGCCCCCTTTCTTCCTCGCCACTTTCAGAGTCGTCTGTACCGCATTCTGAATCAATGTCATTTATCAGCAGCCTCTCAATTTCGGCTTCTTCCATGTGAAATGAGGCCATGGTGGATAGTTGAAATTGCGATGTTTTATAAGCATTACGATTATAGGAGGCCACTCGACATCACTGGCCGACTTCCTCTAATACGAGACTGAGGTGTTGTGTGTGCTCTTCGCGTGGGAAATGGAGTTACATCCTGACAAAATACATGAATTGCGACATCAGACTCTTCATTCAGTTAGATGACACAGGAGGGAAGACTGTCTGTTATAAAGCGGGTGCCCAAAAATAATGTAAGTAGAACAAGAATTTCTATCTTAAAATTAGATTTTAAAACACTGTGCGCAGGCGTGGACTGAGCGTACCCATACGGTGTCGCACGGCCACTCGGCTACACTTTAAAGGTCTCCGTATGGTGTCACTAGGCTCTTAAAGGTTAACAGTTCGGTTGCACCTGTTCTGCTCCAGCCCTCCTTCATAACCACATATCCCCTTCTCATTGGATAACACCATGCCCAAGCACTACCTCCACTGACAGACCTAGATATCGGTCCACTTTGTCGTCCTGTCCTATTTACCCTGAAGATGCTGACTGCAGTATACATTGGGACATGTTCAACAAACATGGCTAAACTCTGAAACCAGCAGCTTACATAATAGATACAAGCTACAAAAACAGAAGAACAGGGACCTGTTGAATAAGCAGTTAAGTAGTAATAAAAGTGACACAGACAATATGAAGTTGCATTCCAGTTGCTGCTATAACAGTGATGCACGACAGATGAATGATGCAACATGGCTAAATATTTACGTCTTTTAAGGCATGACTGTACATCACATAGGTTGCTGGTAGACTTTGTATAGGTAAACATTTAACCATTTCTTCTCCATTGTGCCGAAACAAGCAGATTATATAGCCCATTTGCTTTTTAGTGCAGAAAACTCCCATGAAAGGTTTCTTTTTTAGGTGCTACTCAGTGAATTTGAACTTGAAACTGAGGAGTATCTTATGTGAAATGATTCACACTGAGATTAGTGACTTTGGATCATCAAAAATAATTGGTACTCATACATGAGAAAATTTTAAATCATTGAATATTAAATGAAGGTTCCACAGTATGCCATAATGGAGGGTCATGAGAATAAGGAAGGTCTGTTTGCATTATGGTTATGACATGTTTTCTAATAATGGACTTTTAATTGCTGCATTGAAACTGACTAGAGTTATGCAGTTATTTCAGAAGTTTTACACATTTGTTAGTAGGTAAAGCAGTTGTACACTTCATGGCATCATAAGGGTTTTAGAAATGTGCTTACCCTCCTTCCACAGGCAAGTTAATTTTAAGTAGCTGATGGCTCTCAGGTTTATTTCTGGACATATATACTGTGTATTTATTTCTTTCAAACCATTTCTCTTTTGCAGAATATTTTATATTTGATATGTCAGTGAAAATAAAAGAAGTTATATACTCACATTACTTACTATCTTATGGGATATGACGCTATGTAGACCCATAGACAGTTACCACTTTGGAGGAATCTGCTGCCTCATATTCAGGGTAATTATCTGTGAGGCTGTATGGCATTACGTCCTAGAAGACTAGTTTTGTGCTCATTGCTGTGAAAAATGTCACATATTTGTAATGTCCTTCATGTATAGCAAGACAGGTGGAAACTTTTGTATGGAAATTGTGTTGAATGTCAGTGGCATAAACTTTTTCTTTTTACCTAGTTTACTTTCCTGGCTTTGTAACTTGTACTCTTCTCCCAGGTGTAATTGGAATGATCAAGTCAAGGAGGATGAGATGGGCAGGGGATGTTGCATGAATGGGGGTGAGGAGGGATCCATATACGATATTTGTGGGAAAGCCAGAAGGAAGGAGACTACTGGGAAGACCAAGACATAGGTGGGTGGAAGTATTAAAATGGACGAAAATTGTGCCGAAACGTGTAGTGCGAGAGAGAGGAGTGAGATAGATGAGTGTATGCACTGGAAGACGGTTGAAATAAATCATGGAATTAAAATGGACCTTAGAGATATATGGTGGGATGGTATGGATTGGATTGATCTGGCTCAGGATAGGGACCGGTGGAGGGCTCTTGTGAACATGGTAATGAACTTTGGGTTCCATAAAATGCTGGGAAGTTCTTGCGTGGCTGCAGAATTGGCCGCTTCTCAAGAAGGGCGCACTGAGTGAGTGAGTTGGTATTTAATATTGTTCATCAGGGTGACTTTAAAACATGTCATTTTTTTGTTCATATGTCATTCAAGAAACTTGCTAGAATTCCCTGACTCTAGGGTCTCAGAAGATGGGACTTTCAGCAGTTCTGATCAAGATGATGCATCCAAGTTCATATCTGATATCGCTCAACTTGTGCAGTTCAACAGTCCGCTGGTGGGTGACCATGATTATGAGCCACCAGTGGACTGTTGAACTGCAGAAGTTGAACAGTCCACAATTGGGTGACCATGATTATGAGCCACCAAGCAAGCTTCTGATATAGAAGGAACACCAGAGTATATCACATCATCACTGCTGTATGCTGGTAAAAACTACATTGTACCACCACCAGACGAAATCTGGCCACCTCCAGCACCTGAAGATGGTCATATTAGCAACATGCTTGAGGAGCTACTGGGAGAGTTGATGAAGGTTAATATTTCAGATGCAGGTCTATGAAAATCTACGACTTACTTTCTTTCATCTACTATTTCGACCTCTGCTTGGGCTGTGATGGGAGTGTTGGAATGCCCTGCTGTTGGATCATCATTTCCTAATTCAGCATTAGTTGAGCTCACAACCTAATAACCAAAGAAACTTCACAGAATAAAAATGATCCATACAGCAACCCTGTTATCACTAATTCAAGAGCATGGACACTAAACTACACAGAAATTGAGTGAAATATTCATTTCATTTCATTTTTATTATCATTCAACAGTCCATACATACAGGTATTACAACCATTTGGATAGGGAAATTGTCAGTTTTACATCTAATTCTCGTGCATATCTTTACAGTATATACGGTACCACCCTAATATAGGGGGTTTGTCATCTGAATAATATTATCTAGATCTAGTTACCATTAATTTCATTGTCTTTACACAAATAAACAAATTAATCAGCTACATATTACATTTACACACTTGATGAATCAAAAGACATAAATTCATCTACAGAATAAAAGGAATGTTTCAGCAAAAAAAGATTTTAATTCTTTTTTAAATGAGTTAAAATTTTCCCTTTGTTTTATTTGATTGAGGACCTTGTTATACAAACTAATTCCCATATTTATCACACTCCTTATATTTATATACTATTTCTGTATTATTAAAAAATATTTGTGGTCTTAACGGATCTCTCTGCTGTTTTGAATGAAATGACATGGCAGATGTCTTTTTAGTATTTATTACAAGGTTATTTTTTTGAAACCATATTTCTAATTCTTTCATAATGTTCATTATTTTATATTGAAGGTCAAGTTCATCTTTTCCAGTAATTAACAAATTGGTATCGTCTGCATATAAAACCAGCTTTGCTCCTTGAAAATTTTCTGTAAGATCATTAATGTATAGTAAAAATAAAAGCGGCCCCAACACTGATCCCTGTGGTACACCATACTTCACTTTCCCACATGATGAATTATAACTGGTTTTGACACTGCCGTCAGTGTTTTTTTATTACTGCATATTGGATTCTGTTTGACAGGTAAGACCTGAACCACATATTTGGCAAATATGTGCAAATAGGCGAGATTTTGATTTATGTATCATATTCTGCAGTCTTACTCAGAAACACAAAGAACACAATCACATATAAATATATAATTGTTTGCCTTGTTTTTTTTGATTGGTACATGTTTTAAAATAAGCATTTAAAATAAGGTTGAACTATTTTAACATTAAACAACAGTTTCCAGAATGCAATGTTGATAATATAAGTACTATTAAATGTTTTAATTATTTTGTACAAAAAAAAATAATTTAATCTTTAACACTACACTACATTTATCATTCTGAAATGCTACTCCAAAACTACTACCTCAAGTGAATAAATTACGAGTATAAAACACAACAAAGCCTTCAGGACACAAGTTAACAATTTGAAACTGACAACCAATCAGGTTTTGTGAACAAGTAATAGAAATCCAATTTTTTTTTTCATTCTTTTATTTACAATTCTACAAAATACATGGAGGCATCTGCCTCATATAGAACAAGTCAGCAATACAATATAACATATGAATATACATACATAATCAGATAGTCATCATCTTCAAAATTGTAAATATTCAGTACAACAAGACTATACAACAATACATTCCATATATCAAAATAACATATAAAATTACATACATGATCAAGAGACCGCCAAGACTCTTAATATGGTCATATAAAATCTAATTTCTTAATATATAATACACCTATATCACAACAGTAATAGTACCTTTTTCCTGTGTATTTCATTCCGTAGTCCGTTGCATCGTAGCAATAGTCAATGGCGTTTATTTAAATATACATAAGGGATCAATGTTTATTCCAGCAGTAGTACTCTTCAGCAGTGTAAAAGGAATGGGTGATAAGAAACTTCTTTAACGCCACTTTAAATCCAGGAATGTCATAAGATAATTGTTTAAGCTCTGGAGGGAGGTGGTTATAAAGTTTGATACCAGAATACCATCCACCTTTCTGAAATATCGTTAAGNTGCTTACCATCAGTCCCGCCCAGCCAGCGAGACTGGCTCTAGTAGCTGAGAGGTATCTATAATGCTTCCCCCATCTACCAGTGGTATTAGAGACTGCTGTTGGGCGGGAAACGTCCGTTAATTTGGCTCAGTGACCTCCTTTGGAGATATGAGGTTGTTTTACGTGCCGTAAAGCTACAACACGGGACCCACAGCTTAAAAGTCCCTCCCGGAGGACTTGTTGCCTGAATTTTTTCGCCCTTAAAAATTCGATGACCTCCGTCGGGTATTTGAACCCGCGTACTACGAGTCATGAGGTGGCAACGTTACCTCTAGACTACGGAGGCCGCTGGCAGTATATGTAACTCCTTAAATAAATTACGGCACGAGTCCACATTATGAGAATTGGTAATAATTCTTATTATTCTTTTCTGTATTTGAAATATGATTTTTGCATGGGCCGAACTCCCCCAGAATATTATGCTGTAAGATATTATTGAATGAACTAGGGAGAAATAAACAGTTTTTAGGCACTCCAAGGATAAAAGAGGTTTCAATACTCCAGTTACATAGGATGCCTTATTTAGTTTGGGTATCATTTGGTCAATGTGGGTTTGCCATTACAATTTATGATCAATAACCAAACCTAAATATTTTGTAACATTCACATTGGTTATTTGTTTTTTCCCACATAGTATATGTAAATCAAGAGCTCTTGTGTTTTTAGTTACAAATTGTAGAAAATAAGTTTTTGTAAGATTTAGTAGTAATAAATTACTACTAATGATTTATTTAATTTTTCTAAAACTATATTTATATCTTTTTTAAATCTTGGGGTATTAGGATTATTAATTATTAGACTTGTATCATCCACAACCAAGAGTGGATTGGATACATCGGATATGGCATTAGGCAAATCATTGACATATAGAAGGAAAAGCAGGGGACCAATTATGGATCCTTGAGGGACTCCAACAGTAACAGGCTCCCATTTAGAGTAGAATTTAATTGAGTCAGGAACAACTATTACTCTCTGGTATCTATCTAATGAATAGGATTTAATTACATCGTTAGCACTTCCCTTAATCTCGTAATGTTCCAACTTTGAAAGCAGAATACTATAGTTGACACAATCAAAGGCCTTGTGAAGATCACAAAAAACACCGCCCACAAATTCTTTTTTATTGAAAGCAGTCAGGATATTATTAATAAGATAGTAAGCAGCATCATCTGTCGATTGTGCATGTCTAAATCGAAACTGTTCATTAGCAAGAATATTATTATTCTTGATGTGTCGTTGCATCCTATTATAGATTACTTTTTCAAAGATCTTAGAAATTGATGTGAGCAGTGAAATAGGTCTGTAGTTAGATGTGTCACTTTTATCACCTTTTTTATATATGGGCTCTATTTCAGAAAACTTTAATCTTAGTGGAAAATTGCCAGTTGTTAGCATTCTACTACACAAACAAGTTAGAGGAGAAGAAATATAGGGACTGCTAACTGTTAAAATTCTAGTGGATATCTATATGAGTTTCTTGTTTTCAAGGATTTTATAATATCTTCTCTTTCCTTCAACGATATGCATTTTAATGCAATAAGGGGAAAATGTTGATTATGTGCTGTACATTGATACGATATAGGATTTTCGTGGTTGGAAGTGACATTAGCTGAGAAATTATTTAGAACAGCTGATACAAAATATTTATTAAATTCCTCAGCAATAATCTGAGAATCTGAGGATGAAGTACTGTTTACCCTTATAGTACTTATGTTGGGTACATTAGGTTTTATGTTTGAAATACTCTTTACAATATTCCACATGGTTGCAATTTTATTATTTGAACGATTTATGATATTGTTGTTTTTTTACAAGTTTGATAATAGAAATTAAAAATTTTACAGTATTTCTTATAAAACTTAATTGAATTTATATCATCAATATTTCTTTGAGCTAAATAGAGCTTTTTTTTTTAATATATATATATACATGAAATCCTGATTCCAGGCGTTAGCCAGGATTTAGTGGCAGAGTGGTTATGAACTTTTTTTAGGGGGAAACTAGAGTGAAATAATGTTAAGTAAGGAAAATATTAAAGGTGGTATTTATATCTTTTTCGTTAATTACATCTTCCCATGACTCATAACTTAATTTGTTATTAAAATTAGCAATTGAAACCTCATTTATTTCCCATATATAGCAGTAACTTTTTTATGTTTTTGTTTAAATATATCATGTATTATTAGGTTCTGGGCATCATGATGAGAAAGAACATTTATGATGGGATATACAGTAAAATTTGTAAACTTGTATGTATTAATAAAAATATTATCAATTGTAGAATAAGAATTTTTTTGGAATCTAGTAGGGAATTGGATTATACTATACAGTCCATGAGAGGCTAGTAATGAGTCTAGTTGCTGTTTGTGGGGAGAATTATTAAGATAGTTGTTGTTTATATCACCACATATTATTATTATCATCTTCAGTGTGGGAAAAAATCATATGCAGTCAAGGTTTTGAAGAAAATGCTGAAAGTTAACCAGAAGGAGCTCTGTAGATGGCAGTAACACACATTTCATGAGAAGGGAGGTGCAACCTAACTTTTCTTTACAGTATATTTCCATATTTATATTAGTAGAATAGATAGTTTCACGTACAAAAATACATGCAGCCCCATTCTTAAAGGTGCTCCTACAAAAACTAGCCCCAAGTTTGAAACCCGTCATCAAAGTAGTGTCAATAGCAGTATCACGAAGATGGTGCTCGGTTAAACAAACAATATGAGAGGAATCCAGAAAAGTAGAGATGGGTAATTCATCAAGCGTACTGATATTAAGTCCTCTAATATTTTG